CAACTAGGATCGAAACGTTTGTTTTGTTCACCTTCTGATTGTCAAATTATATTTTACGTTTTTAATTTATGACATAGTTTTATTTCAAAAAAATTTTTTTAACTACTCATACAGTTTGTCAATTTATGTTTTAGGTTCGTAGCCCTTTTTCCTTTTTACTTATTTTGATTTATTGAGCCTTATTATTTTTATAATTTTTCCGTATCTTTCATATTTTACGAAATACTCGACCCTATGTTCGATATTACGTTTGAAATTTTTTCTGTATATAATAATATATTATATTATATTATATTATATTGTTATATTATTATATATATTATATTATTTATTATATTTTTAATTATTAATTATTATTATATAACATAATAACATAATATCAAACTTTGAAAATTAATTTCCAAATTCATAATATTAATTAAGATGAAATAAACTAATAATTATAATATAAAATAAATAACTTTCAAGGCTTCAAGTTATTCGTTTCAGCTTCTTCTTGGCCATAATATTCATTCTTTTTTAAAATGCGTTCCAAATGCATTCACAATGTTCGCGAATGTTATTTGTTTTTGTTTAACATTTAATAAACAACAAGAATGATATGATTTCAAAAAATGTTTGACCCATTTAAAAGTTATTATACCACGAATATTTGTTCCGATTTACGTATAAAGCGCATAAATATAGATCATACATACATTTATGAATTAACACATCAGACGCATCAACTGCCTCAAATCGGAATAAAAGCAATCAATGCACTAAAAGAATTGCTAAGAATTTATAGTATAAACAATACAATCTAAGAAATTCTCAAAACAATTCCAATACACTCATTGATTAAATCGAAACGACTTTTTATGTATAGTTTACATGTATAGTTCACATGCTTGATACGTAACTCCGAATGTTGCTTCCCCCAGGAGAAGCAAAATTTTTTTATAATTATAAATAAAAAAACAATGAAAACTTAATAATCATATGCATCTTTACAAGATGCTTAATGTATCGCAGTTATATTTAATGATTATAAAATAATGTTATTGCCGAAAAAAATTATTTGTTTAAAAAGATCATTAAAAAAATATCGTAAATCAATGAGGGAAAAAGAAAAGAAACTAATACCTTGAAAACATTTAACAAATCGAATGATATTTAATAAAGTTTAAGGACTTCTATATTTAAAAAATTAAGCAAATTAAAATAAATTGACATATGCTTTTTTATACATAATAATTTATAGATAATTTGATCATTTCTTTGTAAATACTTTATCTTATTTTATAATAATAAAAATCCATATTGTTTAATCTGATGAAATACTGAATATACAGAAAGAACAAACAAATAAATGCAATTTTTTCCACTTAATATGGTAAATTCTATTATAAGCAGAAAGAAAAATAACATGGGATGTATTCATTATCTTACAATTAACAGCAACGTTACGTCGTCATTTATTTCTAGTTGTTTGTCATCGTCTGTTAACTGTGTTATTGGAAGATAAATATCTCACATATCGTCACAATCATAAAGTCACAGCTAAAAATTTGTCTCTCTTTGTAATTCTCCTTGGGAGAAGGGCTTGGGATTGGCACGTTATAATAGTGTATGTATAAGACTGAATTACTGTCGAATAAGCTGCTAACAGATGATAACAAGTGACGTGGTAAGTTTCCTTCTTATTCATCTATTTTTATTCTATTTAACCATGAACAAGAATTGAAAAAAAAAAATACAAAGATAACCACAAAACTGGCTCTTATTTATTAAGATCAATTTCATTAAGATCAATCTAAATACAAAATTAGAACTTTTGATAAATAATTAAGGATTATAGATATTTTTTTTAATCAAACACAATCAAAGACAACATTCGCAGACAATAAAAATTGAAGATAATAATTCATAAAAAATAATATAAATCTTTCAAAAATTTAAGAAATGAAAAATATTCATTTTATTGTCTGTTTTTATCAACGTACGTTTAGTTTTTTTAGTTCAATTTACTCTTGATTTTTTCTTTAGTTCTTACAAATCTACTTAGATTAACTTTAATCTTTGTTTAATTTACTCTCCATCTTTTTCTAAAAACTAGAAAAAATAAAAAGTAAGTTGAACTAAGATTGAAGTTAATTTGTATTGGTAGAAACAGACATAACTACAGTTGTATACCAATTCCTGACGTCAGTGCAAACAAGATCATGCGACACCAGTCGGTCTTGCAATCAGTCTCATAGAAGTCATCGAAACGGCTGCACGTGCGTTATGTCATCGCCTAGTAGGTCAGAAAATGTTTGTGATAACGATAATAATGGTAGAAACATAGAAAGTATTAGAAGAAACGTCACCGGCAGGATGGCCAATGATAACGAGCAGGAAGGTCGCGTTCTGGTGCTTTACACGGGTGGTACGATAGGAATGATAAGAAATGAACAAGGAGGTGATTATTTCATGAAATTTAAGAATTACCTTAGATGTAGATTTCGAAGAAATCATGAAATCTTGCGCCGTAAAATTTTTATCACCATAAATTTCAGACACAGCTAAGCTTTACATACGAATGTTCTTCTTCATTTTTTATGAAATCCCATCCGATCTCGAGGAATCTCCGATTTTGTACATCCTTATTTTTCTCTCGTTTCACAGCTCACGCAACTTATGGATTTTTAGTGTCTTTCGTCCACAGATCGTTGGTAGAATATATTCGTATAACTTAATTTTTAAATGATAAATGGATTCCAATGAAGATTTTAGATCCAAAGAATGATTTATGTAATTTGTCTTGGATCTCTGGTTTTATCTTTGCTACAGAATTTTCGAATATAAATCAAAAGAAAATTATAAACATAATACAATTAAAGCTCCAAATGTGATGACAAATAAATTAGAATAATAAATTTAAAATAATGTCATAATTATCTCCATCTTTATTATACTTTGCTGACAACAACAAAATGACTGTTTTCTGTAGCACTGGTGCCATTAGCCAATGCATTTATAAAAAACCTACGGAAATATCCACAATTGTATGATCGAGAGTATGCCGAGAAAAGATTTGGGGCGATGGGACCGCTAGTTTTGCCGTAAGTGTTTAACGTTTAATATTATTTGCAGATATTATAATTACCCATACAACAATGATTTCTATAAACTCGTTTTATCAATTAAATTTTTGTTGGAATTTTAACTTTGAACTTTCACTCGTGAGAAAAAAATCGGATATTAAATAAATCATTTAAATTGTTTCCAAAAATATAATTCCTTAATAAAATTAGTATTTATAATTAATATACTTATATTTAAGATTGTCTTGGAATAAGAATGAATTATAAATACTAAGACCTTTTTATTATTTTTAAGTTGAATATAACAATTTTTATGACAAGATCAATCACTCGATTTATTGTAAAAGATAAGTAATTAAGCAGCATTGGTTTTGAAAATTGAAAGTTTCTTCTGTGCCAGTTTTTTTCAATCCGATTATTTTCCGTAGGGAAACATGAACTGTAAAAATTCTACCCAATTTGCGGAAGAACCGGTTCCTCGCGTACCATTTCGCTTTCTCTTGCGCAATGTTAAAAGTGTTTTCCTCTTAATCTTACAGCGTGACTGCAACTGACAATCGTCGGGTTGTTTACAACGTATTCGAATACTCGAATCTCTGCGATTCCAGTAATATGACCATGGATGGTTGGATTCGCATTGCTAACGATATTAAGGTATGTTAATTCAGACATAAAGATAGAGCAACTTAAAGAAAATACGTTGCTCTCTTATTTAAATTTTTTAATTCAATGTATTTTTTTAAAACAATAAGTTCTTAAATTACGCAATTTTAGACACAAATGAAGATGTATATACAATATATTATATATCAAGCGATTCACGTTCGATACTTTTAAATAATTAATCTAATCCAGTTAATCTAATCTTACTCGAGTTAAAATCTAATCCTCAAGTTACAAGGAAAAATTACAAGGAAACTTGCAACCAAAGCTGTCTACGTGTTTAATAAAATTGAAGCATACTCGAAAATAAATTAAATTATGGTAAGGCCATTCTCAGAGCTTTTCTTTTGTAGGAATCTTACGAGCGCTTCGACGGATTCGTAGTCCTTCACGGCACCGATACTCTCAGTTACACTGCATCCGCTCTTTCTTTCATGCTCGAGGCTCTGGGCAAGACTGTCATCCTAACCGGTTCACAAGTACCGATTTTTGACACGAGGAGCGACGGTCTGGACAACTTCCTCGCGTCTCTTGTAATTGCGGCGAATTACAATATACCTGAAGTATGCGTGTTCTTCGGTACAAACTTGTTGCGCGGCAATCGGACGAGCAAGGCGTCTGCAACATCATTCGAAGCATTCCAGTCACCAAATTTTTCACCTCTCGCTATGGCGAACGTCAAGATTGAAGGTTGCTACATAGATTCAAGACAATAATATAATTTTCTTGAGATTTTTCTAAAAGTTTTAGTGAACATTAATTTTATTTATGAGAAATTAAATCATAATTTGAAATATATATATATATATATATATATATATACAATATAATTAAATTATTATACATAATAATCTATTATTAAGCATTGCCTATTATCAATTGTTTGCAGATGCATTCAAAAAAGAAGTGTTCAATTTTAAGATATTCAAATATCTCCGTTTTTTGAACTTACTTAAAAATATCGTAGTCTTAAACTTTTTTAATAAACAAAACAGTATGTGTATTTGGATTTAAAATACTAAAACGTTTAAAATTACAATATCTTTTATTATAAATTACAATATCTTTTATTAAAACGTTTTGCAAAGATGTTTTAAACATAAACATTTTAAACATCGCACTTCTTACGGTGTGCTATAAATATTAACATTTTTTTTTCTCTAAGAAAAAATCTAACTTGATTAACACAATTTACGAGACACATTCTAAAGAATTCAAGACTAATATTCCTTCGTAGTGGACTATCGTTTGATTTTTCGTCCCTGTACTATGGAAAAGTTCTACGTACACGCGTCACTCAATCGAAACGTAGGCCTGCTCCGATTATTTCCCAGTATCACTTCCGACCTGGTTAAGGTGTTTCTTCAACCACCCATCGAAGGAGTCGTGCTACAATCCTACGGTTTGGGGAACATCCCGACAAATCGTGATGATATCATCCAAGAACTTAGCGCAGCGACAAAGCGCGGTGTGATTATTGTGAATATCACACAATGTACGACTGGGTGTGTCTCGGATACGTACGAGGCTGGAAAATTGCTCCAAAAAGCTGGTACCGTACAAATAAAAATACTGATTCAAAAGAGGATTAATCATTTAAACATATAGAGATCTCTTACCTAAATAGCTTAAATAATACTGAAACTTCCTCGAGATTATTAGCAATCTTAATTCTTTCCATTAAATCTTAAATCTCTCCATTAAATTTTATCTTTCTCTTTTCAGTAAAATTACAGATTAAGATTGTAGAAAATGTTACGGAAAACTTGCGTAATAAAGCGCGAGTTATAAACATAAATATTTTCTTATGTTACAATATAATGTTACGTATTCTACTTCAGATAAATTTTATTTTAAGTTGCGATAACGTTACGTATTCTACTTAAGATAAATTTTATTTTAAGCTGCGATAGCGTTACGTATTCTACTTAAGATAAATTTTATTTTAAGACTCACAATAATTCGCTATCAATGCGCAGGTGTGATATCGGGCTTTGACATGACACCGGAGGCCGCGTTGACGAAACTCGCGTACGTCTTATCGAAGAAGGATTGGGATACGGAAACTAAGCGACAAATGATGCAAACGAATTTACGGGGCGAACTGACCGCCGGTCGACCGCCTACAATACAGGATTGGGACTTAGTGGAAGCTGTCGCTAGCTCTTTGAGATTATCCTCAACAGTAGAACTTCAGGAATTGGGGTCGATCCTGTTTCCAGCTATGCTGAACGCCGCAGTAGTGAGACGCGATGTTGTAAAACTCGAGTCTTTAAGAGGATACGTCAGTAATCTTCAATATTTAAAATTTTACGTTACTGATAATTATTATCTCTTTCAATAAGCAACAAAAGTTGATAGCCTCTGAAGAATATTATAAAAAATTAAACATCTTTAAGAATCGTTCGCTCTTTTCCATCACAATGTATTTCCAGTAATCAGGAATGGATTTAAATGAATTGAAATTTTTACACGTATTTTAAATCCATTGAATTCAGTTGTGTGAATGGTAAAAAACTTTTTTTTATTCATTTAGATTCAATTGGATTCAGTTAGATTCAGTTGGCTTAAAAAACTGCATTTCTTATTTAGAATTTTGAATTAAAAAATATTCACAATGCATAGAAAAAGCTAATATTAGTTTTAGATTGAAAGGCATAGAAATGCGTTTCATGTATTTCTGTAATAATAAAAATGCATTTGGATTGAAAAGAATTTATTTTAATGTTCGCGAATGTGAATGTAAAATAAAAATCTAAATCCATGTCAAGCCATTTCAATTCATTCTTGTTTACTGAGTTGCATTCGTGACAAAATAGTATAGTGTGACATTAACTGAAGGATTAGTTTTCTATCGTTGAGAATCTTAAAATTAAAGATTAAAATAGATTTATATTAATAAAAATATTAGGCTTTGAAAATATATGTCATTAATAAGCTAATTACACTAATTATATACGGCAATATAATATAAAAATAATATACATTTGCAGCGTATTACGGATGAGTTTCTGAATTATTTACTAATTAGTTTATTATTCTAATCGGCTTTTTCTATTTAGGGCGCGGATATCTCGCAAGCAAACGCAGATGGTCGAACGGCTTTACACATAGCCTGCTGCGAAGGAGATTTAAAAGTCGTGCGACGTCTTTTAAAAATGGGTGCGAATGTTCACATTAAGGATCGTTTTGATCGCACGCCTCTCACTGACGCAATTGAATACGATTATCATGAGGTGAGACTGTTCTCCAGAAATTAAATCTGAATTCCAATCCTATCATATATCTTTATACATATTATAAACAAATTTTAAATACTTGATTGAAATCATAAAATAAATTGTTAAAGAGAATCTTGATGATCTCACAAGAAGATCAAGTAGTGTATACGAAGGAGGATTTTGCCCAACTTTAAATATGTTTTAATATTCTCACTATCTTCTACTAATTCACGAGTAAGTGGCACAACGCAATATTTAAATATTTGCGAGAAGTTTGCATCGAAAGTTTCTGTGCTTTTTTTAATACTAATAAACTTTTTTACAAAATTATAAGTAAATTTAAATAATTAGATATTTAAATAAATAATTAGACAATGTATATAATAGAAAAATTATTATCTTATAATCATAACATTATTTAAAAGCCTGCAACCATATAATATTAATAATATTAATTCACGACTCAATTAAAAATTTCAAAACTTTAAATACAAATTTTTCGAGAATACTTAAATATCGTGCCACTTATCCATAAATAGTGAGTAAAACATACCTTAAAGTTAAGTGAAATCCATGTGTGCATTATGTACTTGGCGCTTCTCTTGTTATATCATCTTTACCGAAAGGTATCTTGTTTTAATTAGCGGACTAAGATTCCATGATCAAAATATCATTATTGAAAGTGCGTTTTATGATTTTCTAGATCATCAGGATATTACTGCAATGTGGAGCACATCTTCATGGCGATGCTGTGCTGATCAGCGAGAAGATGTGCATGGCCGCGACCGCAGGAAACACGAAGCGTCTGCAGTCGTACCTGCTGGCTGGTGCTGATCTGTCGCAAAAGAATTTTTCTGGACGCACGCCACTGCATTTCGCTGCTCTTCATGATCGCACGGAAGCGATTGAGTTCCTGTTAGATCATGGCGCAGATCCGCATTGCCTCGATATGCTGGGACAAACCGCGATGGATCTCGCAGAGGCTACGCGAGCTGCGACAGCCGCGCGTTTGTTAGCGTCTTTCAAGCAGAATGCCGACCACGATGACGACAAAATTACAGCGTGAATACAAAATCTTGTACTGCTTGTCTACATTTTAGATTCGAGTGTACATTGCTCTAACTTTAAACAAGACTTAAACTTTTTTCTCTCTCTTTCTGTCTCTCTTGGTTTGAGAGAGAGAGAGAGAGAGAGAGAGAGAGAGAGAGAGAGAGAGTTTTAAGCCTTTAAAGTTAAAGTAATATTATAGTGTAATCGGGCTTTAATTATCTAAATCCGGAAATAATTTTTTCAAAGGGATTCAGAGTAAAATATTTCGACTGACTGTTGATTTGTTCTACCTGATTCTTCCGATTTAAAATATATATAATTTATTGGTTATGCTTTATTGCTTATAGTTTATTGCTTATCATATTGTAAGCGAAAAAAATTATTTAACTAGCTTGAATGAGGTCGATGCAGTCGAGTTTTAAAGATTGAAAAGTACGTGACAGGATTTTGGAAAGGGATAGACGCGTCATACGTGATCTGCGCAATAACATTTTTACTATATACTATCGAAATTGGTAAATTTATAATTTATAAAATAAATATGTTTATAGAATTAAATGTATTTTACAATAAAATTTATAAGTATATAAACATATATATTTTTGATGATTATAAATAAAAAGCCAACGATTCTCGGGAATTTCTCGGGAACTAAATTTTCTATCTAAGAATCCTTAGAATTTTAGAGTCCTCAAATCTTCTGTATTATAATTTTGTGTCTTATTTTAATAATATTTGTACGATTTCATTATTTAAAATATAATATCAATAATAAAATAATAATCCTATATAATAACTTTAATTAATAACAGCATGTGATCGTTTGAATTAATATTCATTACTTACATTATAATTTAATTAGAATATTAGAGCATTTATACGCTTCTTTGTATTAAATATATTTATTATATATTTTTAAAATAATTTTTATCTTGTAAAAAATAATCTACTGCTATTATTTATTTGCTGTGCTGATGACTAATTTTCTCCAATTTTTTGAAAAGTTCGAATTTTTATATTTTGGAGGACATCACGCAGAAAAATTTAATGTAAGCAAATCCCTTTAATTTATCTGCGTTGTCACGAAGAAATCGTTTATTTTAAATGAAACTTTTAAATAAATTAAATGAAACTGATAAATGAGAATAAATTAAATATGACATCAAACTATATGTTTGTCAAAATAACAGTGGTTTCTAACAATTTGCGTAAAAGCAAAAGTGAAAGCGTCATCATCTAAATATGCGACGAGGTTTCTCTTAAGCGCGACGAAATTTCACACCTCGTGCATCAGAATAATGAAGATCAGCCATCCTGATGTAACTCATTCGTTACACTGTGAATGATTTCAAAATTGAACGTGAAACAGATTTGCCAGGTTAGAGGATGCAAAATTTTCACAAAATCATTCTCGACGCGTCGTTCGCTTCGGCAAAAAGAAGATATGTGATAATAAAAGACTACTCAAACACTGTCTCGCGATTAATAATACCTTATTTACAATTTACAATTGCGAACATCATAGCATCAAATTACGCCGATTTGCGCCATCATACTTTTAAGAATGTTCGGCGTCACAAAGCATTCCTTGTAGATGCGACTACAGTCGTGGTGCCCTTCTCGACCTACTCTGATAGCTTCCTGAAGGACTGTGCCATTTGTGAATTCCTTAAACCACTTGTGACTGTTTGAGATAATTAAAATAAATTCATATAATTAGAATTCAATTCCTTATGTAACCAATTAAAGAATTTTTCCGCATATATTCATTCATTTGATTCAATAATCTTTATATATAATTTTTCTTGATTAAATAGTTAATGTGCTTTGTTATAAATTTTAATGTCTTTGTAATTGGGCAAAGAGTAATATACGAGTGTAATTCTCAACGATTATTAAGAAAAAAAAACAAATTTTTACTCTTACTTTAATCGTTATTTAATTGTAATGTATTTTCAATATGAATGTTATTAATTAGTTATCTTACTCTTAACATATCACTTGTCCAGTTTATTTCTTTAATGTCTTTCCCTTCAAATTTAGCAGAGTTTATTACATATATATCCTATTAACTTGATTGAATTATTAATGTAGTGAATACTCATTAAATAAGCAAATAAATTTTTCTATCTAAAATAATATTATTATTTAGTTAATTCTAAATTAAAATAGTGGTTAAAAATCTCAAAAATATTTTATATATTAATAGTTGTTAATTACTTATTGTTATAAAAAAATAATATTAAAAATTAATCGTACCTTGATAATCCATCGATAATCTTATCGGTACTCGAAGGATTATCGGAATGACTCGCCTCGGAAACGATGGTGCAAACAATACGCTGGACGCAGGGTGCGATGTATCGATTGCTAAACACAATTTCGTTTATCGTATCTCCCATTTGCGACCATTGCGAGTCGAGACCTGACACAGAAATTCACACTCCAGGTAATTCAAGAATGTTTACAATAAATTTATTATCTTAACACAGAGCAGTGAATAGGAATGAAACTCGTACTTCGATATTGCATTCCCGGGCCTGGCTTTGATAAGAGGGGCACCACCAAAGTGAGAATGGCTGTTAGCACGCCAGCGATTGACAATCCTTTCGTGTTAACGTTAAGCAGTGGTAACACTTCGCCATTCTCGCTCACGTGATTCATCGGTATCGTGAAGAAGGGTACCGATATATCCCAAGTGATCTGAAAAATTCAAACAGGAAGATCTCTCGAACGATTTGAAATCGAATTCTTCAAAAATGACTCGAAATTAAAAGAAAACCGTTCAATTATATTGTACAATAAGATTAATTCTCGTGGAATTTACGTGTTTTAAAAATTTCCACTCAATCAACTTCGATATACTCACATCGACTTCTCCACCTTTAGTGTCAAACGAGATGAATTGCGGCTTTTGGCCATTAAGATTCATGAACGTCCGTGAATTGCCGTCGCCAATTACTCGCACGAAGAACAGCGCGAAGGGTAGAAGAATCAGAGCGACCGAATCCGTTGGTGTGGCCCTCATGTTTAAAGTCTCTTTAAGAATAATTGAAGTTAGGAACAGTTGAAGATAAAACGTTGACACTTGCTTTATCGGATTCTCGATATCCTCGACTTTCTGCCGTCCGCGAAGTAATGAGATGCATTTGTGCTACCCAAGTGCTTTTCAACGTTCCAGTGCAGCAGACCCCCACTAATTTGTCCCGTTCGTAACAGGCTCGTCTGCCCCTATCAAAACAGGAAATACCGATTTCTCGCGACGGAATTAACGAACTCAAACGGCGAAATCCAGAATAATGTATTATTAATTACTGTTGCATTTGGCGAGTTTCGCTTTTACATTTTGCCGCGCATCGCGGGAGAGATAAAGGAACCCAATAATTATGGACTTCTCGTGACTTATTATAAACATAATTTTTCATCTGCAAAAAAAGGAGCGAATGTGACGACGAGTCAATTAGAATTATAGACTCGGCCAGCTGTAACTTTCAGTGAATTTCCCGGGGCACCGTCTAGAACCGACTTCTCCGTCAAACTCGAAACGGGGAAGAACGCGACACGCGAGCTTCGCGAAAGGTGACTTTGATTCGCGCTCTGGCTTCTCCCCGCGCGATTTTTGTAGCGAACATGCAACGTATAGATGGAATTTCTTTCCGAGAAATTTCCGGAAGGATTCCGATATATGATCTCATAGCGTGAACTCTGGCTACTTACATACGCTTTCGCGGTTTCTTGCATTTAAATCCTTAATCCTACTTTCGATCTTTCGTTTGGTCACTTCTTAATTTGTATCTCTTTGATTTTATCGACTAATCGTCGATTTTTATATAAATCTGTTTAATATTCTTTTCCCCACATGGAAAAAATGTAGGAAAGTAATATGAGCTAATAAGGACAAACACTCACTTATGAAAATTTATTTTACTTCTCTGATGAATGAACGATCATCATATAATAAGGCTATATTATAAGATACTTTTTACATTTTGTAAAATAAATTTTGAGAGTTGTATTCATGCGTACAATTTTGAGAATAGTATGATTTACTTTATTGTAAGATAATGATCAGTTGAACGGATTTACAATAATTATATTTTTTACCTTACACCTCTGATATTTTTACTTTCAGAACAAGTAAAGTTTGTCATAAGTTCGACAAAGATAGTCAGAATATTTTTATTAATCCAGTAAGGTAAAAATTATTCAACCACTTTTCTTCGCATTTTTTTACTAACTTACTGAATTAAAATTTTTTTTTTACGAACTCTACAAATTTTAAATGTAAAATTTTAAACTTGTCTATTATATGTGCTTTCTATCGATTTATTTTTATTTCTTTTTTTTGCAAATTGGGATCATTCGGAGCGTAAATTATGTTAATATTATTCTGTTTAATCGCGCACATTAACGATTATTAAAAAATTTAATTTCATCTTTCCAAATCAAATTGCATCATATGGTTCTTTGGAAACGTAATCAAAATTAGTTACGTAAACAATTAGGTAGATGCAAGTCATAACTACCCCAAAGTTCCACACATTTCGTAACGCGCTACAGAAAGTCGTAACATGGACAAGATCACTTCAGCCGCGAGAAGACGGAGATTGAAATCGCAAAATTTCCCATGTCAAAAGTCAGTGAACATCTTAAGAGAACATTGTTGACGGCCGGCCATTATTTCAGCCTCAGAATTTCAAACGGAGTAACCTGATGACAACGTGGTTGCAGTCGTTGTAGAAGAAGAAGAAGAAACGGCCTTCTCTTCGCCCGCGACGACGAAGGCGACGACAAGGAGACGTCATGCACCACAAAGACCTAACAATGAAAGCGAAACCGGGACTTCAATTATCATCCACGACTTGTGTTCAGACGACCAGAGCGACTATATATGACTGAAAGCAGACATCACACAGTCAGTCCGTGACACTGAATCACCATATCTCATCCTAGGATATATCTCAGTTCCACGTTGTATCTTAAAGAATTCGCTTTTCCTTTATCGAAGGTATTTACTTGATCCACTTTAAATAATTATGTTCATATTTGCCCGATATATGTCACGAGAAAGTCTTCGGAAAATTGTTACCTTGATTCATCGTAACGCAATGTTCGCAAAGTATTCTAAAAGATCTATGACATATTTTAGAAATTTAGTTATTCATCTAACTGTAAATAATAAAACTGTCGACTCAAACATTTAATTTTTGATAGTATTTAAATAATATTTTTAGCTTTACAAAAAGATATGTTTTTTGTTGTGAAATATTGTAGAGTACCATATTCGTACAATATTTATTAAAACACGTAAATACTGTCAACATTTAATTTATTATAATATATTAATATATTAATATGATATGCGTGTTAATCCATTGGTTCACCGAGAAAAATGTTCAGTTGGATTAAAATTCTTAAAATAGACGAATCGGAATTTTCTGAATAAATCTGCTAGAATTCTAGAATTGAAGTAATCGAAATTCAGATTAATATAATCTTCTAATGTGTCTGTTTTTAACCAGATATTTTTCTCAGTATTTATTTTAAGTTTTTTCTCAGATGACATTTTGTATCTCGCGAAGTTTAACCGTGACAATAATTAGCTGCTTCGCCATTCTGGTCAATTGCAGTCCGAAGTTCGATGATGGAGGGTAAGTCTCATTTTAACGATTAAATTTTTAATAATACAAGGAATTTGTATTTAATATCTTTTTACAATATGTTCAACATTTCTTCCCAAATGTCACAGAAGTGCAAATGACGCTTAAAAGGCATTCAAAAAAGGTTTAAAAATTAAAAAGTATTTAGATATCTAAAGAGAAAATTAATGTAATTTTTTATCGTTAAAATATCTGTGTTATATATCTGTCTTTGTACGATCTATCGATAGTTTTGTGCCGAGTTCTATCAGCTACATGGAAAAGCAGGCGAAAGCACAGGATCAAGTAGCCATGCCGTCTCAGATTAAACAGCACGACGAAGCGTCGAAACGCGAACCCGAGACGAACGACATTGCAGATCGTAGCCAAGAGGCACGATTTGGTTTCACCAATGTCGGAAGTACAGGGAGCGTAAGTATTCTTCTCGATCGAGTTTCTTTTCCCATTTCTTTTTCACATTTTATTATAGATATCTATTCTTTTGGGACATAGTGCCACACTTCGTCTTTATCTCTTATTTCTACAATTTCTTTTCCCTCTTATTTCTTTTCCATCTCCTATTTCTATCTATCTCCTATAAAATTTTAAAAAATTTTCTCTAAAGTATCGTCGCACTCGATATTACTTTATCTTATTATTTTCGATAATAATTGAAGTCAATTAATCGGAAACTCAAAGTGGCGTGTGATTTAATTAAATTTACGTAATCAACTAAATCCGAATCAGGGTTACGGCGTATCACCTTATGCGCCGGCGAAAATAGATCTTGGAGGACTTCTCTTGGGAGCTATCATAGGCGTGGGATCGATTCTCATCATCCCAAAGCTGCTCTATATCCTGTCGGGAACTTATGGTGCTTATGCGAGAAGTAAGTATTATATCCATTTATAAAATCCATGATATAGAAACGTATTCTTCTACCATGATAAAATCTATATATATATTGACTAAATCCCGCTGTTTATTTTATTTGTTTTTAAATTTACAAAACTCAAATTTCACAGATCTCTTCCTCATGAAGCTTAACGTTTTTTCATGACCGAAACATTAATAATTTCCGCGCTGTAAGCCACTAAAGAATCTCTCAGAATATTAGTTGACATGATTTTTCAACTTCCATTCAACTTGATGGATTTCTGATTCGAAACTTGATCAAATAAAATATGCAAAAATTTTAAACAATGTCATCCCTCTTTCTTTCTTCAATTTTCGTTAATTTCAAATTTCGCAAGAAATTTTCCGTGAACATTCCGTTCCTATAGTATCCATAAAATACCTACTAATATAGTATATCAATCCAACGCAGGCGAAGATAATGGCTTCACGCAGACTCTGACGAGAATCGATGATATCCTGGCTCGCCATGGCATCGACACGACCTCGTGCATGCAACGTGCGATATGTACCTACTCGCAACAGGCGGCCACCGCAGTCGGCGACGAGGACGAGAACAACGGGAACGAGAAAGACCAGAAGGTAACATCCTTTGAGAAGATGGTGAACACAATCACCAGCAACCAGGTGTTCCGCACAGCTATGCAGGGCACGGCGATCGAGGAAGCGGTGGAAGCCGGAAGAAAGGGCAGAAACTGTTCAAGATCGTATCCACACTGCGGCTTCTCGATGGAGACCATGCTGTCGCTGTTGGCTAACGTCATCGCGACGGTGAACGCGCGCATCGCGACGCCCACTGATTCCTCGTTGTAAAATTGCTTATGTAATTTTTTTTACTCTTCAGAGAAAGACGATTATAATTTAAATAGCAGATTAAATCATGGAAAAAGAAAAGAAGCGCGTAAAAAATAAGCTCGCTGTATCTTGCGTATACTACACTATGTGTGACAAAGAAAGAGGCAAGATAAGAGTTTAACAATTTAACAGGCAATAGATACGTAGAATTATTTATCATGAGCGGTGAAAGTCTCGGTAGCTTTTGCAGTATTTTAATTGAATTCGTACAACGATAGCTTCATCTTTATTTCGTCGAGAATTACATTTGTGTGTGTCGGGTGTCTGTATGTATGTTTACAAATTAACAAAAAAGTGAAACCTCGGCGCAACCCCCGTGCTCTCACGTGCGCTCAGCGTGACACGCTCTTCTTTCTCTCTTCGGCTACACATAGAAAATGTTATATAGTCTAATACGGCTTTCACATTGAAGAAAATAGAATCGACCAGAGTCGCGATACGGTCGTAGGCGCATTGCGCTTAATACGTGTCAACAATCAGTACAGGCACTGCCCATGACGATGTCGTATGTACTTACATGTTTATACAACATTCTCCCCGGACAACACAGCACGCATACACAGGCGCGAGGATGAATCGGAAAGTAAAGACACGATGGTTTCCCTACTTATTTCACTCTTCCGGCTTGTCACGGTGCAAGGCAACTTGAAAAAATGACTCCGTTTCAAGCATTATCTACCTATACGTTATCGCCTAGAAAGTTAAATCGCATAATAAAAAGAGAGAACATTTGAATTATTTATCTAGAAGGTTTGGAAAAATTCACAAATTAATGCAAAAGTTAAGGTAACAGGTTTTAAATTTATCCTTTTTTTAACACGTCCTACAGAAGACGTGCTTTAAGTAGAAGAATATAATTTCTATATGTATTACAGATACGTTAGTTGTTAGTTATAAAATATAAGAGACGTGTATCTTTACTTTTTCATTCACTTTCGCGTATTATTTTCGGAGCAGGACGTTCGTGTACGAGGTATTGATTCCTAGGAAAAAAGGACTCGTTCTTAAAAGATACATTTCTACCCTCGGATTGTCTTCACTAGTAAATGAAGGTTAAATTATTTTCATATTTAATCCGAAGAAAGATAAATATTGAATACCTTCTACACAAGGGAAGGTAACAATGAGGAATGTATACTTAATTATTGAATATGGTATGCTCTTATAAAACGCGTCTATCGTCAAAATGACGTCAGGAAATCGATCGATACGTAATACTTAAAAATTAATAGTATGACAACAATAGTGCTACAACAATGTGTTATTATTAAAAGACTAAAGATAGCGAAGAACGTTCG